GGCTGGAGTGCAATGGCGTGATCTTGGCTCACCGCAACCTCCGCCTCCTGGGTTCAGGCAATTCTCCTGCCTCAGCCTCCTGAGTAGCTGGGATTACAGGCACGCGCCACCATACCCAGCTGATTTTTTTGTATTTTTAGTAGGGACGGGGTTTCACTATGTTGACCAGGATGGTCTCAATCTCTTGACCTCGTGATCCACCCACCTCGGCCTCCCAAAGTGCTGGGATTACAGGCGCGAGCCACCGTGCCCGGCCCTGAAATTCTTAAAAGATAAATTTAAGTAGCCAGTATTTCAACTTAGGACTTTTTGATCAACATGGAGATGTTCTAATTTTGAGCACAAGATTTAGCTTTACCATTTGATTTTAATAATAAACAATGGAATCTGAAAATAGAAAATAGAAAAATACAGTAATATTTTTAAATTTATTTAATTTGATTCCATTAATAAATACTTGGTCATTCTTTTTCCTATTAAATTGTATTTAATGCCAATTGCTCTCATGTGGAATCAACTGATTGCATAATGATTTATTTCACCTATGAAAATAACAAATATAGAAAAGTCTAACTCTATCTTAGAAAGTAATTATACACAAACTCGCAAATACCACCACTGCCACCATCATGTTAGCCCTTGTGAAACACAAGGTAGACAAAATTAGCAGGCTGAGAAGTTGTTACTGGTATTATAATTCCATGTTCTCATCCACTAAGTAAAGAAATTGTGGGGCCAGGCACAGTGGCTTATGCCTGTAATCCCAGCACTGTGGGAGGCCGAGGCAGGCAGATCACAAGGCCAAGAGATCGAGACTATCCTGGCCAACATGGTGAAACCCTGTCTCTACTAAAAATAAATAAAATCGGCTGGATGTGGTGACACATGCCCATAGTCCCAGCTACTTGGGAGGCTGAGGCAGAAGAACTGCTTGAACCCAGGAGGTGGTGGTTGCAGTGAGCCGAGATCCCGCTACTGTACTCTAGCCTGGCAACAGAGTGAGACTCCATCTCAAAAAAAAAAAAAAAAAAAAAAAAGAAATTGTACGCTATAGATTGCAAATTTTGTTCAAACAATAAATAAGTGTATGTAGCAAATTAAAGAATCAAATATTTTCCTGGCTATACTAGATGACCTATTAAGACAAAAAGAATGAATAACTGAATCCTAAAAACTATTTTGCTCATTTTTCAAAGTGGGCCAAAAGAATGCAGTGTATAATATAAACAACAATAAAAAATAGGCAGCCTATTGTTTAACACATTATTTTGCTCAAAAAGGTAAACTCTTAAGTGAAGACTAAATTACAAATTTGAGAGGTACAATATTCAAATAAAATAGTAAAATTTCAAAGCTGAGCATTATTTAATTGCTTTAATACCAGTCAAAATGATACCATATTATTCACTTTAAAATTGATAAACACTTTCTCATATCAATTCATTAAAGAATTTCAGTGCCATGCATTAACAACACAGTGTTGTACTTTTACATTGATATAATACAGTGCAGCAGCCACCTAAAATCCATCACTACTTAAATAAATGTAAAGGGTTCATACTGAAATGATTGTTTTGTCTCAAATAGAGTCTACTTGTATATTTACATGAGTTTGCTTTAACTATAAAGGATCTAGACAGTTAAGTGATAAAATTTACTCATGATACTCACGCACTGTATTTTATGGTCGCTTGGAGGTGGATTAAGATGGCTAATGACTACGCTATACAGAGAAATGTAATTTGGAATATTTTACTTAAAATTAATTTAGTTCAACATTTACTGACTGCTCATAGAGAAGTTTGTACTCTACTTTATAGGTATGCATTAGTGGAATCAGCCAGCTAACTTAAAATAAAGACAATGGACTGCCTGGCACATAATAACTTTACTAATTAAGTTAAAAAAAAAAAAAACTAGTTGAACTGGGTTTTATAATGTCTGATGCATAAAATAATCAAAAGTCAGTTGACTAACCAAATTTTTTAGTTTGAAAAAGAATTCGTTGTATAGATATACTATTTTTGGTCTGCAAAATTTCTTTAAAGTAATTCAAAGGCGGCTGATGAGGACACATTGAGGCGAGCAAATATCTATAACCTAAGGGAACCTGAATAAACTTGAATACAAACTAATGGGGAGAAACAGGGTGGTACCTTTTCTTCCTGATTTTTAAAGGTCTTTTTGAGGTAGAAGGCATTATGGAAGATTGGTATATAAGGAATAAAAACTATTGAAGCCTAGGGGATATGAAAGCAAAGTTCAAAGAAAGGATCAAGATAGAAGCCTTGAGAAGGAGACTAGCATAAAACTTCATGTTAAATGAGAAATACAGATATAATGAAAAATAAATTTCAATAAGAATATCAGGATATAACTTCATTTTCTAAAGATGAATAATTATTTTGCCAATACAAAGTAAAAGGAAGGAGGAACCTAAGGAAAGAAGAAAAGAAGTAAAGGGAAATGGGACAAAGGAAAGAAAGAAGACAACAAAGAAGGAAAGAAAAAAGCCCAGGTGTGTGAACCTTAAAGTAAATTACTTGCTCTAAAAGGCTCATTAACATAATAAAAAGAAAAAAAAATAGAAATTTGCCCCTTCTGGTGTGTGTTTTTAATGGAAAACAAATTGTCTAAAACTTCCCCCAACTTCCACAGTACAAACTTAACAACAGACTGAAAGAAGATCCTGAGTTCTTTATTTTGTCTAACTTTCCACAGAATTTTACTAAAATGTTTAACTAAAATGTATTACAGTTAAAGTACTATCATTCAAAGGAAAGTTTACGTCTTGAACAGGAAAGATTAAAGATTGGACTCAAAGTGTTTTTCATAAAAACTCATCTAATTGTGTTCACGCCATTTAAAAATTCTGAATTCACCTAATTTACTGTAAAACTACTTTCAATAAGCATACTGTATAATTTTTCCAAGGAAGTATCCTGGCCTTAGTTCAAAGAAATGACAGGGGAGGGATGGGGACAAAATATGTTGAAACAGAAAAACAAAACATTTCTTGCTTCTTCACCCTCTTAGACAAAGGCTCAACTCTACCCTACATGCGCAGCTATTAATAGCTGAGAATTTGCTTTCATTCCACATCTTTCTCTATACTCATCCACCGAAACCTCCATACAAACCCTCTCCTTTGACTTTGGCCTTTTGTGTACTACATATTGATTTCCAGTCCTTTAACTGCTTTTGGTACCTAGAATCATTTTCTGCAATCAATAATTGAGAATATCAAAAGTTATTTCTCATAACAAATAAATAAATACACAAATGGTAGTAAGTGCTCTCCTTAAAGAAAAGCCCAAATTTGAATCAAGAGCATAACATTACTGAAACCAAAATATCTAGAGAATAGTAAGTCTAACATCCAAATATCAAATTAAAAAGAATGGTGTGAAAGGAGGGGAAAAAATGGTGAAATGATCAAAATACAGCCCTTACCTGAAAAGGTCTAGATTGAGTAGATAAAGGCAATGGCAATAATAAAGAGATAATTAAAGTAGAAAAAGATCTAATATATCTGAGAGAATCAGATATGACTCAGAGAGTTTATTACCATCTTTAACTCATCTATAATAGAGGCAAAAAAATTTGAGATTGTTTCAAAACTGCTATCCTCAGTTTCATGCATTTACCAAAGACTTACCTAAAGTGACTACTTTTAGCATTAAGAAGGATAATATTGAGCAGGGGGTGGTGTTATCTTCTACTGTAACTGTTATTTCAGATTCTTTATCTTAATCTGTTAAGAGGAAATTAAGTGTTGAAAAGAATTCAATAATCAGAGTTACCAACTTGAATACTAAAATCCCCAAGTCAGTTTCATATGGTCAGTCTCACATGAACATCAATGAATCATTGGAAGATGTACCTATTGTCCTATAAGTAAACGTAATAACAATTTAATTTTAAATGCCAACAGTGCAACTATATTTGTTAAAAGCATGCTAGTCCAGTCTGTTATCTAACTGCTAGTAAAATTCAATACAAAATATGTGTGTGTATGTGTTTGTGTGTGTGTGAGATAAGAAAATACACAAAAATACACCAACATTTTTCTTCCTTTTCCCTTCTGATGTTTAGAAAATTTGCAAACTGGTTTAAACCAAAAGGGGTAAAGGAATGAAATTACTCCTTCAAGCTTAGAGGATTCTGTGCCAAGTTTCATTTCTGGCTACATATTTCTGGCTAAGTTCAAGATCCCTGAAAAGGAATACATAAAAGAGAAAATATCCCTTTAACCTCAGTGGAAGGACATTAGAAGAGGCTGCTATGGAAGAGAAAGGCTTTTGCCCTGAGATGGGTGTGCTCCTGGTGTTTGGTTTCCACTGAGAGGATGCCTGCTCTCTCAATGAATCTGAAGTACCTACTAGGATGAGGTAATGGCTGTGCCGGTTTCACTGGGTCATGCTCTTTCAGCACATTCTTTCCCTCTCTCCTCCCTGAGAAGGTACTGTAAACAAGTCATCCTGAGAGGTGCTGCAGAGAATGAACAATCCTGAATTCAAAATTGTTGAGAACACGAGCCCTGCTATGGCAGTCTAGACATAACCAGAAGACTAAAGCAGCCAAAAAAACAGGTTATTTGGTAAGAAAACGGGGTGGGGGAAAGAGAGGAGAGAGAAAAATAAAACAAAAATTAATATGACTAAAATATTATTTTTTTAAAGGAAGATCTATTTTTAAATTACTTAGATCTTCAGATGTGTCTTAAGCAATTTTCTACTTATGGTTTAAAAAAAGAAAAAACTTTAGACATTAAATAATATTGTAGCAAACTGTAAAATATCAAAAATTTAAATAAACCACAGATAAATAGCATGTACTACTGATTCTAAAGCCACAATGGCTCTGATACTATACAAATCATGACTGCAGATGTAAACCTATGATAATCAGATTAAATTACCAGGAAATCAACAAATGCACACACACACACACACTTATCATAATCCTTACTGAATGAAAAACAAAATGCCTCTTTTTTTGAAGAAAGGATTCTTTGTGTGCATGGGGTTGGGGCTTTTGGAACATCCATAATTTGCAAATTCATAAGGATTTCCACCAAAATACAAATACCTATTGCCCAGTTAAAGGGCTGTTTTGTGTTATATTCTGATGGCAGGCTGTACTTGGGCATGAAATTAAAAGGGATTCTATTTATTCAATCTATTTTGACTGCAAAAAAAAATCATATTGTCCACAGTGAAATGACATAGTGAAAGAACTATGCTTTTGAACTGGGCTGGTACCTGCAGCTCATGCATGGGACATTTTGCATAATGTGGCTCACATAAAAGGCTTTGTTCTCCATCGCCTCACTGTGGCTGCAAACCTCAATTTCAGTTTGCAATCATCTTTTCTAGACTGATCATTTTAAAATAAATTACATCTTTAACATTTAAGTTAGTTCCTTACCAACAGTCATCAATCCCTTTGCCTCACACCCAAAATTATATACCACTAAACAATATTTTTTTGTTTTGCACTACAGATTTTATTCACAACATAATTTCCAAACCCTCAAAGATAATTCTTTTAAGTACCTATTTCCTTTCCTAACATGTATATAGTGTATTATACATTTGTGTGCATACTTGTATGTTTATGCATTTAAACAAAAACCCTTTACACTGGCTTAATTTTAAAGGGTCTATGTCCTGGAAGCATTGTGCTAATGGCTTACAACAGATGGCACACAGCAATTGTCACAAACGGGCTTGTTGCTAATGAAAGCTTTTTATTTTCTGACGAAATCCTGAAGCCCCGATGCAAATCAAGCAGAATAACATTAATTTCCAGTTTTCAAGGATATTTTTATCTGACTCCATCCCCTTTACTACCCCTCCCCCCATACACACCCAAATATACACCTCCCCACTCCTAGCCCCCCACACTCTTTCTTGAAATTTCTATCCTTAAACAAAAGACGAGGTGGGGGAAGGATGGCAGCCAGCACTGCAGTCCCTCTCTCCCCACCAAAAAAGCCTTTTAAAAAGAAAAAGAAGAAAAGAATAGATGTACTGTAGATTCAGATGTCCACCCCCATCGTTTAAAAAGAAAAACCACTGTGTAGAAGCTTAACCAGACTCATTTCTTCGTGCCCTCCCCTCCAACACCACCAGACATTGATTTTTCATTTTCCTCAATTTATAAATATCAGTTCTCCTCTCCCAGCTGTTTCTGGAGGAATTACAGGGAAACATGATTTGAAATGGACAAGGTTTCCCTCACTCATTGGCCAGTGTGTGCAGTTCACTGCAGCTGGATGAACGGAACAAAACAAAAAATCCCCTACCCCGAATTCCTTTTTTCCACTATTTTTGTAGAATCCACTCTCCTTCTGTCCACAGCTCAGGTAATACTGGCTTTCGATACACGTATTCTAACCTGACATAAGTTTTCAGTCGTTTCAAAGTGATACCTAACAAGGTCACTCGCTCTTGTACAAAGCCAGGGCTCAGGTACCAGCAGCGCCCGGACCCTTGCCCCGCAGTGACACCTGGAGAGGCAAGGCCCGAAGCTTCCGCCAGGTGCACGGCTGGCCAGCTCGACCAACTCCCAGAATGCCAGCTCCGAGTCCCCGAGGACGAGACACAACCCCTCCCCACTCCCACCTCTTTCTATGCAGAGATCGAGGCAGAAGGAGAGGCGCCCTACATAGAGCCAGAGCTGGGGACCGTCTCTTACCTGGGCGCAGAAACTGGATGCACCCGCGGTCGCGACTGCCACCGCTGACGGACTTAGCGCCCTCCGGAGAAGAAGCAGAGGGGTGGACGGGTTAGGGGAAGAAAGGGGAGGGGGGGAAAAAGAAGGAGAAGGAAGAGAAAGAAGCGGAAGGGAAGTAAAGGAAGAGAGGATGCTGCTGCTGCTGCTGCTGCTGCCCAGAGCCCGCGCAGCCCGAGCGCCCGCCCTAGTCTGAGCGCGGCGCCCCCGCCCGGCTCCCCGCGCAGCCGCCCCGCCCCGCCCCGGCCCTTCCTCCCCGCCCCGCGCAGGTCCCGTCCGACTCCGCGAGCCCGTGGGCGGCCGCGGCGGGGCTGGCGCTGCCACCGCCGCAGTGTTCGGGAGGGGGAGCGTTGCCGCCCCGCTTCCTGTAGCAGCCGCCCGCCGCCAGGCGGGGACCGCGAGGTAGGAGCCTCGGAGAGCCCCTCCCAGCCGCGGCCAGGGCCTTCTCCAGAGGCCGGGTCCCTTCCCGCGATAAAGTGAGGCCAGCGCCCGGGTGGCGGGACCGGCGGGCCTTCCTCCCTGGCGTCCTTGGGAAATCGGGGATAGCAGCTTTAGTCTCTCCGGAGCAACCCCCTCAGACACCCTACTTTCCTCCCCTGTGTTGCTGTGAGGCGGGGATGCCAGTGGACCCTCACCAGGAAAGCTCACTGGTCTCGCCTCACAAACCCAACCACAGGTGCATCCAGAAACGACAAGGAAATGTGGGGCTCTTGAGAATTATAGAACAACTCTTGACGGCACGAAAGGGGCAATGGCCGAGGGAGTAGAGAATGCTAGACCCAGCTCTGTCACTAATTAGATTCATTTATTGAGTCAACGAATGTTCATTGACACCTACTATGTGTCAGTCACTCTTCTAATCACTGTAAACATCAGTGAATAAAACAGACCTTTCCCTCAACCCTAAGAAAAAAGATCCCCTCCCTTTATGGTTATTACATTCTAGATCCAGACGTATGCTCTAGAGACAGTTCACTTAATCTAACGCTCAGTGTATTCATGTGTCATATGAGGACTAAAAATTACAGTCCAATTCTTAAGATAATGATTATTAAGGATTTTTGAAGAATGATACAAATACAATGAATTAGCACAGAAAATGTTGACCTTGAAATATTACCATTAAAAACATAATTACCTCTTAAATACTTTTGAAAGTGAAATGACCAACTGAGAAAACAAATGATTCATTACCATGGAATCCTCATAATCAGATAGCATAATCAAAGAGCATAATCAAAACCAGCTTTTTATTCTAAGTAAGAAAAATAAGATGCAACTTAGAATTACTTTGAGTGTATCAAGTACTGACAAGGTGTTTTTAAGGTCAGCCAAGATACTGAGGTGTGGCCTGTACAGTCTTCACAGTGCTGATGAAACAGCAGCCATAATGTGGTTCTGTCACTTAACCATAGAATCTTAGAACCTAGAACATGAGAGTTGATTTTTTTAGGCAGTTGGTCTAATTTCCTCCATTTTCAGATGGAAAAAGAGACCCGATGATGGGAGCCTGCAGGGATTAGAAACCATCACAGAGGAAGCTGTGAAAGCCTGGCCTCCCCAGTCACACCTGGTGCTCTGTGTCCTGCCTCCCCTGCTCGGCTTCATACCATGAGCCAGTGACGCTTGCAGTTAGGATGGAAGTATCCAGGCACACCCAGGAGCTGGGAGCTTGGAGGAGTTGATGCTCCTCCTTGGAAGATGGCCTGATTGAGAAGAAAGAGGTCTTAGGAAACTAGGAAATCATAGACAGTACGTGGATGGGAGGAGGGAGTAGGCATACTACCAGAGTGTTACCAGCTGAAATTCATGACCTGGCATGCAGGTGCAGGTGCTCATTGAGAGTAATTTTCCAGGGCCAGGAGCGGTGGCTCACACCTGTAATCACAGCAGCTCAGGAGGGAGGATTGCTTGAAGCCAGAAGTTTGAGGGTGCAGTGATTTATGATTACACCACTGCACTACAGCCTGAGTGACAGAGTGACTCTGTCTCTAAAAAACAGCTGTTAAAAGAAGAGATTTTCTCTCCAATCCTTTGAAGTACAGTGTTTTTTCCCCTCCACTTTAAGAGTAGCTGAGTCAGTCAAACTCTAATGGTTTTTCTCTTTGGGGAACCTGGTCCTTATTTGAGAGAAAATGCCTCCTCTCAACACACATCTTAAGAGTTCTGTCGGAAAAACAGTATCTATATGTTTTAATTCAATAAAGAGACTTTAATGGGGAACCAATTAAAAAGGGTTCAAACAACTAAAAAGCCAAATAGGGGATGATGAGGCAACACGACGATACTAGTAGGAAAGTAATATCACTCTCAGCCTGGGGAGTGCTAGAGAAGAGGGTTTACCAGGAGTGAGGAGCCGAAGCTGCTTTAAGGGCACTGAAACCACAGTGGAGATGCCTACTTGGAAACGGATAATGCTGGAGGCGCCTTTGAAAGCTGAGAGTGAAAAGGAATGCTGTGGCTCTCCTTCAACCTGTATTTCAAAATCCTGTCATTGGGTGAACCTAGAAGGAAGTAAGTTGACAAAACAGCCTAAGAAATATAGTTTGCAGGAGTCAGTGCCCTGGGATGTCAAACAACTTTAGGAGGGGATCACATGTATTTAGGCTTCTAGTTTAATGAGGGAGTCTTTGCGTCAAAGTGAACTTGTTTTTTTCTCAGCAAATCATCCCTTCCTTAGAGGAGCCATCTTTTTCATATTATGATTCCCGATGTGCTAGTAAATGTGTGATTCTCTTCTCTTTCTTAGAGGTGGACCTTGTGACCCTGGCTAAGTCTATAATAGAACCTGTTCTGCTCATGTATAGTGATTGATCCAGGGTGGTCATATGTCCCAAATATTTCCAGTCAGGGTTTTTTTTTTTTTTTTTTCATGAGATGTGTCATATGAACAATAGTGAATCAGATGGATATAGGTATAGAATTGTCAGTGACTATCTTTCCTTCCATGTAGAAAAGCAATGCTGAGAGATGGAGAAAGAGCCCTTGAAAGATTCCGTGGATCCTGCTACATCTCAAGGTAAAAATACCATTTTCAAACCAATAGTTTTTCATCTCTTTTCTAAGCTTGCTGTATTTGTATTCCTGTCATTTGCAACTGAAGAAGCCTTCATTAATACAGTACTGGACTCCAAAAAGTAAGCCACAGATACAGAAAGAGCTGCCAATATTGATTTCCACAATTATTTGTTCTATCTTCAGGCTAAATTCTTGATTTGTATTTCTTTGGCCTAGAAGATTATGTACGTAAACAACCATATACTTTTCTCAGGGACAGTTTCTCAGAACACCATCAGAATAAATGTATTTCTACTGATTAGAGAAAGGTCTACTTGTATATAGGAAGTAATAAAATCTTCTCTCCAGAGAGTCAAAAAGTAGGTGAGCCATTGAGGAGGTTGTACTGCATCGTGTTAAGAGCACCAGACTGCACGTCAGATCTGAGGGCCCATATCTGCTGTCACTTGCTTGTGTGACCTTGGTTACCTCTCCCTACCATTTTGAACCTCAATATTTTTATTAGCAAATAAGGAGCCTCAACCACATGCCATCTAAGGTCACTTTAGTTTTATAAACCTATGAGAAATTACAGCTCAGCTGGGCATTTGCTTATTAAATGGATGAACATTAATTAAGTGGCCCTTAGAGAAACAATGAGCAAGGCTTATACATACACAAATAATGCTGATACAATGTGCAACCCATGATACAAAAGATGTGGATGCAAGAGGCAGGTGTGACCCTGAAGAGCAGACACTAGTAAGTCTTTTACCTTCTGTGCATGAAATGGGCTTTTTTGGTTTTGTTTTTCATTTCTCGACCTTTTCTCTGTGGATGACTAGAGGCACATCTATTAAAATTTTTATAATGTTTCAAAAGTTTCCTGTAATCCCAGCACTTTGGGAGGCTGATGTAGGTGCATCACCTGAGGTCAAGAGTTGGAGACCAGCCTGGCCAACATAGTGAAACCCCGTCTCTACTAAAAAATAAAAAAAAAATTAGCCCGGTGTGGTGGTATACACCTGCAATCCCAGCTACTAAGGAGGCTAAGGCAGGAGAATCGCATGAACCCAGGAGGCAGTGGTTGCAATTAGCTGAGATTGTGCCATTGCACTCCAGCTCAGGTGACAGTATGAGACTCTGTCTCAACAAAAACCCAAAAAAACAAAAAACATTGAAATGACTTTAAAATTTAAAAATGAGTTTTAGTAGTATGGTCTACCATTTTCAATTTTACGCCTATTTCAGTGAACAGATGGTAAAATTACCATTAACTTCTTCTGGACCATAATGTATCATTCTGTTCAAAAAACTTTGTTGAGGTATAATTTACATTCAATTAAAAGCACAGATCAGAAATATTAAATCTACACCTTCAGCCCCAACCCATAGAGGTAACTACACTTTTGATTTTGTTTCTCTGTAGATTGACTTTGCATATTCTTGGAATTCCTATAAAAGGTTTCAGACAATATATGCTATTCTACATCTGGTTTCTTTTGCACACACATTACTTTTGAGATGTATCCTTTATTTTGTAAGTTATCTGCAGTTTATTCCTTTTTACGGTTTAGTAGTATTTCATTGTAGAGATATACCATATTTTGTATACCCATTTTCTAATTAGTGGACATTTTGGGTTATTTTCAGTTTCTGCTTGTTAGTAATAAGGTTGTTATGAATTTTTAAATAAGATTTTTTTGTGTGTGGATATGTTGTTGTTTCTTTTAGTCACATACCCAAGAGTGAAATTTCTGGGTCTAGTAGACATATGCTTAATATTATAAGAAGGTACTGAAGTATAAGTTTTCAGTACTGCTGAGTAGGCTTTTACTAGATCTTACCATCCCCCACATAACATCTCCTGTAGGAGGAAGACAACCAAAAACAGAAAGCACTAGCATGTTAACAAAGCAGGCATATTTTAAAGGGGAATCAACACTTGGAAAAAGGAATGGCACATTCAATGCCTTTTAGCTTGAGAGCAGATTGCATACAATACTGCCAGGGGCAAACATTCAGAAAAATTACAGTTTTCCTAGAGTATAGTTTGTGGCAACGTCCTGAAATGGAAAGCAAAAGAAGAATATTGACAAGAACAGAGATGCTGGAATAGTCCAAATTCTACGTATGATATACGTACAAATTTCCACTTTATCCCTGAATCATGTGTGTATGGAACAGATTCAATGCTTCCCAGCTAAAGATTAAAAACAAAACAAAACAAAAACAGCAACCAAATACTGAACTGAGGTTTGAGTTGCTACCCAAGTGACAGATGTTGCAATGTGAATCTAACAAATTGAACGAGTACTAAAACAAAAACTTAAAACACTGGAGTATATAGCAAAATCCAGGGTTTTCACAACTTAACATTGAGATACCACCCAAAGTTATTCAACATTCAAAGAACCAGGAAAGTGTGGCCCAGTCTCAAGAAAAAAGACAATCAACAGAAATTAATTTTTAGATGATTCAGATGTTGGAATTAATAGAAAAGGGCTAAAATCAGCTACTATAAATATACTCAATTAAAGGAAATATAAGTAAAAAAATGGAAACTTTCAGTAGAAAAACTAAAATTATTGAGAAGAACCCTGATGAGTAATAATGCCAGTATGTCTCTGTGTTCTTATTTGTCCTTCTTGTATCATGTTTTGTGTTGTGAAATGCCTGTTCTAACATTTTGCTAATTTTTAAATGGGTTGTTTATCTTACAGTATACAAAGAAACCTTATAAAGTGTTTTTTTATATATTCTGAATGCAATATATCTATGAGGAATATATTTTGAAATTATTTTCCTCCAGTTTTTTGTTTGCATTTCATTTTCTAAATGTCATCTTTGGAAGTACAAACTCCTTTAAGTTTGTTAAAGTCTCATTTCCCCAATCAAATTTTCTTTTTACGCTTTGTGTTTTTTTGGTCGTATCTAAGTAATCTTTTGTCTACTGCAGGGCTGCTTTTTCTCTGTTCTCTTCTAGAAATTTGATAGTTTTAATTTCTATGATCTATTTCAAATTAGTTGATATGATATAAGGTATTACTGATTATTTTTTCCATATAGATAATAGTTGTTCCAGAATTATTTTGTGAAAAGACCATCCTTTCCTCATTAATTACCATAGCATCTTTATCACAAATCAATTGGTTTTATATATATATGTGTGTGTATATATATATATATATATATATATACATATATATATATAATGTGAAATTGGCATAAAAATCAATGACATAGCAGAGTTCAGGAACAGACATATATATATGACAACATCAAATGCTCTTGAGGACATGAAACAAAAGGAATTTTAATTCATCACTGGAGGATGAATTAAAATTCCATATATAAATTACCATATATATATGGTAATTTAATGAGGAAAGGATGGTCTTTTAACAAAATAATTCTGGAACAACTGATATCTATATTTATCTATCTCTCTCTCTGTATATATATAAAACCAATCAATTGGTTATATAAATATATGTCTATACAACACCAATTGATTTGTGACAAAGATGCTATGGTGTGTATGTATATATATATATAACCAATTGATTTTATATATACATATATGTATATGTGTGAATATAAAATCATTCCTTTTTTTGATTCAATTATATTCCTTTGCATGGCCACAACACTTCTGTTTATCTGTTGATAAACACAGTTGATGCACATTTGGGTGGTTTCTACTTGTTGGCTATTGTGAATTGTGCTGCTAAGCACATTAGTATACAAGTATTTTTATGGACATTCTCAATTCTTTTGTGAATATACCTAGGCATGAAATTGCTGGGTTATATTTTAATCATATTTTTAACAATTTGAATAATTGCTAAACATTTTCCCAAAGCAAATAAACATTTTACATTTCCATGAGCAATTCATGAAGGTTTCAACTTCTCCACATTCTCATCAACTCTTGTTATTGTTTGTTTATAGCTATTCTAGTGGGTGTGAAGTGGTGTGTCATTGTGATTTGGGTTTGTATATTCTCAATGACTAATAATGTTGAGCATGTCTTCATGTGCTTATTGGCCAGTTATATATTTTATGTGAAAAACTGTCTATCCTTTGCCTATTTAAAAAATTGGGTTATCTATAGTTTTATTGCTAGTGTTCTTTACGCATTTTGGATACCAATCCTTTTCAGACATATGATTTGCAAATATTTTCTCTGATTCTATGAATTCTCTTTTTCACTTTCTTGATTCTCTTCATTATAACAAAAGTTTTAAAATTTTTATAAAGTCCAATTAATACTTTTTTCTTTGATTGCTTGTACTTTTGATGTTATTTCTAAAATAGCATTGCCTAATTTAAGGTCATGAGATAGAGCTTTTTCCTTCTAGGAGTTTTATAGTTTTAGTTTCTACATTTAGGCACTTATTTCATTTTGAGTGGTTTTTTTTTTGTACAATATGAGATACAAGTCCAACTTCATCTTTTGCATATGGGTAACAAGTCATCCCAGCACCATTTGTTGAAAATCATTCTTTCCCCTATTGATTTGTCATGGCATACTCTTTAAAATCAGACCAGAACTGTGAGGGTTTGTTTCTGGACTCTCATTTCTATTCCATTGAGCTATATGTCTATTTATATAACAGCAGCAGACTGTCTTAATTACTGTAATTTTGTAGCAACTTTTGAAATTGGGAAGTGTGAGTCCTTCAGCTTTGTTTTTTTTCAAGACTACTCTGGCCATTTTAGCTTTCTTGCATTTTCATATGAATTTTAGGATCAGCTAGTCAATTTCTGTGACAACAACAACAACATAAAAAGGAAGTTGCAACTTTGATAAAGACTGCATTGAATCTATAGATCAGTTTGAGGGTATTGCTATTTTAACATTATTAAATCTTCTATTCCATAAACAGATGGTATCCTTCCATTTATTTAGGTTTTTATTATTTTTCTAAAAAATATTTTCAGTGTACAGATCTTATACTTCTTTATACTTATTTTATTAAATTTATTCCTAAGTATTTTATTCTTTTTGGTGCTATT